TAAAATTCCTCTGTCTCCATTCCACGAAACGAATAAGAAATATTAAGAGAAAATTAATTAACGTTAAAAGCGTCGTCGAGATGTTAAATCATTGTGTAATGAGATTTATATTCGTTTATATTACTTCTTTTTTATCGACATATGTAATGTGAATTGTTAATTTATTCCATTTATATCGAGATACGATGCGATTTTAAAACACTTATAATGTTTCAAGGTTATCTACCGGCATCATTCTTCCTTATCCTTATACTCATAACGTGAAGACTCTTTTACAGATGCCTATTTTATAAATTAATAAATAACATAAAAAACTAAAATAAAATAATAACAATTGGTTTTATTATATTTTACTATCTTCTAATTTCATGATCGAAACGAATGTGAAATTTATCTTTTGCTTTGCGAACACTTTTGAAAATTTATTACAACATGTAATATTATTTATATACTTTGAAAGATATACCTTACGTTTCAAAGATAATGTGTATGTATATGAATAACATTGACGACAATGCAATGACAATTTCCGGCCGATTCACGGAAGACTATGATAAAAAAAAAGAAGAAGCGTGCGATGAATCAATGCCAAGGAAATGTATCCTTGTTGCCAATTTGTTCAGAAGCTATGCGAACCACGTCGACATAGTGACGTAATCGTCGCAAAAGATTCACTGTTGTCTTATCAGAAGGATGCACTTTGTTGCCACGAAGAGTGAGGCAAGAATTGGGGCGAGTTGACGACTTCCAAGTTATAGTGCAACATAAAGTTTATAGCTAAACTGGCATACACTTTTGGAATTTAAAATGACATAGACATGTGTTTGACATTTGGTGAAAACGAGAGAGTTCTAGTGAAGTCTAGTGCAGGAGTAAAAGCAGACTTGTAGTGTCGCAAGAATTCGTAAAGATGTCGATATTTAGTAAAAGATTAATAAACAATACACTACCATTTTGTTTCTAACTATTGGATGCGTTCAACGGAAAAAGAAGCTTTGCAACTGATGGAAATTTTTTTTTAATATAATTGGTTTATAGTGCTTGCGCTTGATTTCTCATGAATCTAAATATAAAATGTATAAATTAATCATATTGAAGAATTTTGCAACAGTTGCAAAGCTGCTTTTTCTGTTACACGCTACCATCGCTTTTAATCCCCAACTTTTCATCTCTCTAAAATGCAAGTCGGATTTTATTTAATGGCATATCTTCCTATTTTTTTCGAGTGTATAAAATATTATTATTAATAGAAGGCAAGTACTCTTCGTATAGTTACGTATATATATATATCGGGAAATGACATGTCGAACTTATTCTAGAACGTCGAAATTCACAATGACGATGTGGTTCTACATATATGCGACACTGTTGGCCCGAGTTCAGGATATTTCTGCTGCGACGAAATATCGTTGCGACCGTAAACCTTATTATACATTATCTATGTGTCTATGCGTGTACGTCGAGTGTAACCCAGATGTATCTTCGTCTTCAGTTGCAGCGTGCATGTATAATATATATAAAAGATAACAAGAGATTTTCTCGAGACAAAATATTTCACGTTTTTAAATATAAACGGGATTATTAAAAGAATCCCAAAGACGATTTACATGTCATTGACACATCACCACATACTATTATATCAATATCTTACACATACACATAAATTTTCGTACAACAATAACGTTTTGATTAGACGTCTAAGTCCAATTCTAAGAATTCTACGTTATTTCTTCGTGCAAACTACTAGTCTGTGGACTATTTCGTAAGTACAGATTTTACAGCTTTTATACGAAGCAAATGTTGTCACGTTATGACATCTCTAGAGGGATATATTCACGCAAAAAAATATTTTGCTGCTCCAGCTAGAATTATAGCTGTCTTTGTATCTGATAGAAAATTATGTATCATACGCATAGAATTTATAGCACAAATTTAAATTCTATCTCTGCCACCTATATGATTAGATGCAATACTTGCAGTACTTGAAATTTATCTATTTCAGCTGTTTTTCGTGCTTGGATAATTTTCGATGTAATTGCAAGATCATTTTTTTGAATGTTGAAGTAAGAAATGGTAAAGAAGATCTCTATTTTTTGATGTTCTTGGTATACTCCACCTCACAAACACGTATTAATGCGTATACTTTAATCTTGAAGAAGGACTTTTGAATCAGTAAAAGAGGAAAAAAAATTGTTTTACAAAAATTATATATGGTTTAGTGACGATTTTAGGATCCCCTTAAAAGGAAAAATAATAATAAATTAACTCCAAAAGTTATACAATTTTTGAGAATAGAATCACGGACGTTTACGGATTGTAACAGCGTTCATTAACGCGACCGCCTACGTTAAACGCACTTGTGTATTGTAGATGTAATTTGCATCAGCGGTTAAATATTGAACGGCGCGCGCGCGCGCGCGCGCGCGATTATACCGTTTCTCACAACCTGAGTTGTGCTGAATCATTCGATATGATAGAGATGATGTCAAGACCGCCAATGACTCGTGCAAATTCCGTTCGTTTATTTTCCTTGTGTTCGTTAATTATCCCAATGTGGACAATAACGATAATCATAATCAACATTCGTGATTAAGAGGTGCTATAGTCCGCGTGAAAACGAAATAAATACATCTCGATGCAATTTATGATTTATGATTGATCATGATTGCGATGGAGATATCATGTATAAAATACGAAAATAATGCTACAAGGTCCAAATCTTTCGAAATAGCGTCGATTTTATCGCGTTGGAATATAAAGAAAATAGTAAATATTAATTTCAAGAAAATGATAATTTGTTTCTCTCACTGATTATCTCGATGAGGATAAGATCCTCGTGAGTTTCATTTCTCGTTTGCGATTTTCATCTGTAAATTTTGAATACATTACACTAACATCCCGATAAAAGCAACAAGTGTCCCGTGAAATGATTTGTCAACGGAAAAGCTGACGGCATGGTCGGTGGATTGCCTGATGTGAATCATCGAGATCAACGGATCATGACGCATGGTGCATAACGTGTTGGCTTTGCAATCTGGACGCAACTTACTTATTTCTCCCGCCAAATATAGGGAGCGCCGCGGCTCATCGGTATCATTTTCAGTAGCACAATCCGAGAAAGATTGACAAATTACAATTTTCGAGTACGAAACGCTTGCTATTTTCTGCCAACATTATTAAATTCAAATAAATTCGATTTGCTTATTATATGAAGTCGCTTCGATCAATTTTATAACATTCTTAAGAGAAAATTTATTCTTCATTTTAGTACATAATAATGTTTTCCTAAAATTTGTACCTATATTTTAAGATTATTATCAAGAAAATATTCCTTGTTAAGGACAACCGTTACTTAAAAAGAAGAAAGTAAATTGAGTAATTATTTTTTTTAACAATAGAATGATATTTTTCTGTGCGTAACTAATAACAATTTTTCAGATAAAAACACGATATTATATAAACCGTAAAAAATGTTTCAAGCCGTACGAGAATTAAATAGAACTTACTCGCAAATTGGCTCGCTAGACTAATTTTTGTTGATAATATAATTTTTTGCGAGGGAGAGAGAGAGAGAGAAGCAGCTGCAAGCTGCAAATCGAAATCGAGTAAGAAAACGGAACGAACAGAGCTGACGCTGCCTGCGGAATACCGGTCTCTCATTCGCCGCACGTGAATGAATGGTTTATTTACGCATGCTCTCGTACGACTCGCGATTACGAGGCAGTCGCAACGGTGACCTAAATCCCGGATATGCCGAACGCTAATATCTTGAGCGTTTCGCTCGTAGGGAAGATAGTGGAAGGAGCGATGTGTACATCGACGAGCGCGACGACCGGTGCGTTTTGCATAACTCTTTGCATAATATTATCAAACGCAGCGCAGTCTACGCGGTTTCCGGTTAGGCGCGATTAAGAACGAGAACGCGAGAAAGTGCGGACGCAGGCGAGAACTGCGAGAAGTCCATTGAATCGATGCGGAGGAATTGCATTAGAGATAATATCGGGAGATCGACCGTGCGGGCGCGTGCTTCGTATAAATAAATGTATTGTTCGTCAAGTTTATGCAGATACCATGGCAGTAAACATGCTTATTTATTATGCGTATACACGTATGCAAAATCTGTATGCACTAACAGATCTGATCTTGTTATCGGCATAAGCCGATGAAACATTTAATATTGTAGTAAAATACTTAATAACGTACTTGTTGACTTTCTACTATAAATAACTTCCAAGTTAAATTTGTATCGCGATACACACAATTTTTCAAAATTATCTTCAATTTTTGCGTTCAATATGCAATTGTGTGAAATTGTCGTTTCCGAGAATGTTAAATTTATTTATATTTCAAGTAAGGAATATAATATCTTTTATTAATGAGACTTGGGTTTTGTTTTTCGTTATCTGGTTAACTTGTAGTTTAAACTTAACCTCACTTAACTCGATAATAATGTAAAAATTTTTCTACAATTAACTACTAAACTAATAATTTTGTCCTAGTAATTTTAAAAGTTATTCACTACAAAATCATCAGTTTAGTAATTAACCATAGATAGAAAAATACAATTTTTATGTTATCACCAGATTAAGGTTAACCACAAGTTAAGCAGTAAATAGAAAACTGAGCCATAATTGATTACATAAATCTATTGTATAAATTTACAATTTATCTAAATTTATAAATATATAATTTACTTTTTTATTTACAATGAATCTTCAATAACAGCCGATTCAATTTTTTGTTATATAGGTTCGAAAACTTTTTGTACATATATATTTTAAACATCAAATCGTAACTTACGATTCCGCTTGCAGGAAAACGCGTGGAGATGTTAACGAGAAGTTCTCGTCGTCGTCGTCGTCGTCGTCGGTTTCTAATGGGTGGTTGGCTTTCCGTTCGCCTTCGTGCTCATTAGCAACGCATACCGAAAAATGATTCTCCCCTCGCGAATTGTAACTGTTTCTTTCTCTCTCTCTCTCTCTCTCTCTCTCCCTCTCTTCCTGCCTCTCCTTCTTTACACACTAATATACTTCGTGAGTCAATTCACAAACAAAAAAGCTACGCGCCACGTGTTCCGCGCCGCAGTGATGCGTTCTCGAGTATCGGAGAGAAGATCATGGAAGTGGATCGGTCCGTGAGAACGAAAAATTTTGACGTTGCAGTTCTGTCACAAATAATAGATGCATAAATGTACGCGGAAACAAAAAAAAAGTCGTTCCACGAATATCTCGTATGTTGTCAATTGTTAAATTAAGTTAGCAGATATTGTGCCCAAATATTTTTTTAACGCTCTCGATACAAGTACGATGCGCGCCACAAGAGGATCGTGTATTAAATGTGCATATATGTGTATGTCCAGAAATTCAAATATAAACGAAAGTTTACTTGCGCAAAACAAATTCGTACAAAAATTAAGAATGCTGCTCGAATATATAAAACAAAAAAATAGTTATGTAATCTCTCTCTCTCTCTCTCTCTCTCTCTCTCTCTCTCTCTCTCTCTCGTTCTCTCTATTCCCAAAGTCGAACAAATTTATAATATTTAGTAATTTACGCAATGTATTTTTTGCTTACTAATTTATAATGTTTGTATTAAAAATGAACAGAATTGGTTGTGCTCCAAAAATCTCAAATCGGAGTAAAAAAAGCAGATCAAAGGGAGATAAATATATATAAAACGAGGGTGTATATAAACGTGAAACGCAAAGGAAAATAACTTCTTTTTAAGTAATTCTCAGGGAGAAATAATTTTTGATTCTTCAAATGAGAGACGCTCATGGCGCGAACACCCACGGGTTAACGAGGCGCGCGCGTTAACGACGTCTGCAAGCTGCGAGGTTCGTGTGTGCCGAAGAAACAGTGAGTCAGAGAAATCATTCTTTTTCTTCTTCTTCGATCTCTCTTCCTCTCGTTCTTCGGCTACAAAATTGAACATAAGTCTCAAGCGGAGTCACGCGAGAAAGAGAGAGAGAGAGAACGAGTTCGAGTGGGAGGAATTTTGTCGAATTGTAATGTATAGACTCTCTGATACACTTTTCTCGAATATCAAAATACGTAAGGCTATCTGTGGACAGGAAAATCGGATCGCGTTTCACACGTATGAACATTGTCAAATTTTAAAGCCGTTACACGAATTAATTCAATCCTCGTTTCGGACTTTAATAACGCGCGGGAATGCGGCGAAAATAGAAATGCATCAAAGAAATTGACACTGTGATCAGTGTTCGCCCTCCGATTACGATTAGTTGCACAATGTTTGTAATTCGAGTTTCTTTAACGTAATTTTAGAGCAATCGTCGTTCGCGATTTGACGGAAAGAAAATTAGTTTCCGCGCTTATTAAGACAATTTCGAGATATTTTCGCCAAATAACGGGAAAACGAAACGAGACGATTTAATCGTTTGCCGCTCGATAAGCGCTTAATTAACGTAAACCGTTTACGATACCGTTACACTAAAGTGCCAATAGAGAGTTTTTGCAATATCGTTTATTATAGATACAATGAACGCTAAGGTCAGGTTATCTTCTTCTTAACAACTAATTAAAAAAAAAAAGGATTACGTGACTTTAGCGTATCTGGATTCACGTTATTGCAAAAATTCCCTATTATCTCTCTCTCTTGCGACGTGTACGTTGGAAAAAGGAAAGAATTCTCTCATGCAACCACGGTAACGTTTGTGCAGTTCCGCGGACTCTGGAATTTCACGAGCGTGTCGCCTCTCCGAGGTTTTTCCGCGAATTGCCTATCCGCGGAAAATTACGAACTCACGCACGCGCGCGTCACGAGACTCGCGATCGCGAGGGAAACGCGCGTGGAAATTACGTTGGCGCCACGTTGCGAGTCGATGCGGAAAAAGCTCGCGTCGCGTCGGTCGAATTAATTTTCTTTCCTTCCTCCTTGCCCTCCTCTGCCGCTCCGCGCCGCTCCGCGCGTAAGCGCGCCGCGCGCGCACGTACGCTCTTATCATCATCGAGTAATTACCACGTGTCCGCGAGTCGCACTTCCGGCTTCGATTGACTCGAGAGATCCAGCCGATCACTTTCCAATCGCAGCGCGATCCTCGAGAGATCTTCGCCGATCTCGCTACTCGCGAAGGCAGCGCGACGAAGGCGTGTCGCGGCTCGCGAATAAAGCAATCGAACGCGCGCGATTCACCGAGACACCGAGACTCGGGCGCGACGCCGTTAATCGTTCGAAAAAAAGCTACGACACACTGGTTCGCGTCTCGCCGCGTACTGCGCCCGTCGGGGCAACCGGTCGACCGGAGCGCCTCGGCTCGGACACCCGCGCACGGAAACGCCCGAGCCGCGGTAGCGGCGCGACGCGCGACGCGCGACGGCGCCGGCGACGCGTTCAGAGCTAAGATAACAGCCGCATGCATTCCTCCCGGTGCACCAAGTGCACTCAACTATCGATATATACATCAATATCAGAATACGGTTAATTTTATATTTCACTAAAAAATACTCTGCTAGTACTTACCAAATATTCAGTGAAATATCAATCGAACGATCAGTTAATAGTTAATACAACTAAAATTATTTTTTTTTTAATATTTAGTAATTATTAGTAAATAGTTAATTACATTATTATATTTGATAATAGACATTTAGGAAAGTAAAATTATTTTTTATTATATGAATACTGAATATATTTGATTAAAGCCATTTCATTCAACATTTAGTTATTAAATTCTTTTCTCAGTGTAAAACTTATAAAATTTAATATGTTAAAATATATTATAAATTTAATTCTATGCATATAATTGTATTTATTAAAAATTTGATCTTATGAAATATTAATGTATAAAATATTAATTTTACAGAAATATATATATTAACGTTAAAATATGTAACGTTTTGTGTATTAAAATACATTTAAATATAATTAAAACTGATTAAATAGTTATAACGTATTCGTTTTGTAAAATTTTTATTTATGCTGCACGTGCTCTCAAAATTTAAAAAGCAGAATGTGTGTTTCGAATCGCAAAATTGCTATTCAGATTTAATTGATTTTTTGATGGTTGCATGTTGCGTTTTATTTTGCGTCGATTAACCATTAATCGAGCTTGATTGATCGAATTAGCTTTTAGAGTTTCGTTCGCTTCTGCAATATGTTATATATTTCAATAGAATTTTTTTCCCTCACTTTCGAAACAATTATTCATTAAATTTTCAAAGATATTCGAGTTTATATCTGTTATATAGGATTCATGCAAAAAATAATACAAGTAATAAAAGTTATATAGGATTCATGCAAAAAATAATACAAGTAATAAAAGTATAAATTATATTATGCAAAAATCGGATTTAATTGAAAATATTAAAACTGGGACATTGATAATGGGTTAATTTCTTGCTTTCGATCATCCTGGTAGATAACCGAGAGTTATATTCGAGAGTCGCTGTTTGTCTTCGTTAAAGACGGAGAAGCTGTCATTATGTGCTAACATTTTTACTCTCGTAAAAGCACTCGAATAATCTCGGCGTTTCTGAATGACAGGGATTCTCGAGGACTTGAGAGGTTTAAATTGTCGCCGAAAAGATGCCGCCGTGTTTGTTGCAAACATTCTCTCTTTTTTGTAAAAACCTTCCCTGGCAAACACTTTATCCGCTTACGTTCGTGAACGATTTTACGACGATTTCCTATCACTGATTTTTATGACAAGTTCAGTCGTATGAAAAATGTCTCGTAATTTTTTATGTATTTTATGTGTTAAATAATTATGTACAAGTAATTTTTATACATAGAAATTACTTTTCAATAAAACGAATGCAATTAAAGGTTCCTACAAACTCGAGATTATGAGAACAAAAACTGTATACATGTTTAGTTTGACCTTATATAAAATAAACAAAATCTACAAAATAAATTCGAAATAAATAAAAATAAATTCAAAATCAATGCATTTGTTATAAAAAATTCCTTATCCTAAAATTCCATAACGTTTCTCTGATTTCCAGAAAAAATGTCATGATCTTTTTTTATGCTTTCAATAATATTTTGAAATTTTTTGTATATTTATCTTGATTTAGATATTGTCAAATATTCTATTGAGCAATTTCATAGCAATTTCAACGTAAATTATTATTAAAGGAAAAAATTTTAATTTTCCAGAAAATTTTGCAAAATTCCCTTTTTCCCGATTTCCCTGATCGTTTGTACATGGCCCAAAAACGTGTAAGGAAAGAAAAGTTCGCAATGTCGAGGAACGCGGACATGATTTCGCTGCTGTGTATAATTGCGCGTGTCGATATCACAGCCAGGATCGGTGTGGTGATGCATCGCCGATAAGAAACGCGTTCTGTTTTCGCGAGAGCGAAATGCCTCCTCTTTACGAACACGCAAACATTAAAAATCGGCAGCAAGCGCCGAAAAAGCGACGCGCTTCTCGACGTATTCGAGCGGTAACAGCTGTTGGAGGCAGCTGCCACGTGGCCGGCACGCACCTATGATCACGGAAATCCTCCGCTATTTACGATCGATACCGTCATCTTTACGTACGGAGGAACATCTCGGTACTTTCCCCACGCTTTTTGCGTGTTTTTAACTCTAGAAGCCTTGGTGAATTAAGCTTGAAGACTGTAGGCGAGTGACCAAACACTTTGCTTCTCACTCAATCAGTTTTCACGAAATCATGGTTTAACAAAAAGACTTAAAATAAAATTTAATATTAAACGTATATTAATATCAAATCAATCGAAAAGAATTACGGAAAAAAAGATAAGTTAAATCATATTTCCGTACAGAAGACTTGACGGCGTTAATTAAGATATTTTACTTATGGGATTTCGAATGATGTGTAATATTTACCATCAATTACAAATTATAAAATGTTATTACACTGAAAAAAGAATCTGGCAATAATTACCACAAATTTTGAGTGAAATAATTTTAATCAAATGCTTTTTTAATTTATAACTAAAAATAATTTTACTTTTCTAAATATTAAGTATTATGAGACATAATAATATAACTATTTAGTAATATTAAATATTAAAAATATAATTACTAAATATAAAAAAATAAAATTATTTTTAGTTATATTAACTCATGATTATTTGATTGACATTATTTCATTCAACATTTGGTAACTACTACTATACTCTTTTTTCAGTGTAGTTAATTAATGATTATTAGACTAGAGAATATCCTATCTACAATAAATTATTGTAATAAATTAGATTTGCAAGTCAATCGCCGCGTTATGAAACTGAATGTTTCGAACGTCAAATCGAATATTGGTCGATCGTCGTCATACGTCGATTGCATGTATGTAACTCGCACGCATATACATATACACACACATATTGATGCGCAAGTGCACCCGTATATCGCGTACTCGCGTTCGAAGAAACGATGGTTCGATTTGCTCTTCGGTGAACAAATCTAGATCATAAATATTCATAAGTCCACGCAGCTGTGGCACACGGCTTTATTAACGAGTCGCGGAGTCGCGCGATGCTAATTTCGCTCGCGAGCGTGTATTTCACCGGCAAGGAGGATTAATGCTCGTGCGCGAGGTACAGGAGCGTAAGATAACGCGTCGCATAACCGTGCGCATCGCCGTACCACATCCGGGTGCCAGCAGGTGGAACCTCGGAATCGCCCGACGAAACCATCATACCTCATTTCTTCGGCGGTCGCCTAAGTCGCCTTATCGCGGACAGGATGCGACGGCTCCCTCCCGAAGCGGTAAGAATTCAATTTCGACCCGATATCGTCGCTAGCATTAATTACACTAGTCTGTGAATTGAAACATATCCTTCGGATCATTGCCTGAATCTAGCAAAGTGATTTAATATAAAGTATCATGCCTACGCGCGAAGCAAGATTATCAAAATAATTATGTAGGACGCTCAAACTGATTCTTATAATGTCAAACCTTTTTGCAGCATTGCTTGTCATACTTAAGTTTCCTACGTAATTCTCTTAATGTTTGGGGTTCAACAAAATTATAATTTCAGATTTGTATCTACCTAAATTTTTAAATACCTTAGTAAAATTATTCTTTCTCTACAACGATATCGATTGTAATGTAACGGTAACTGATCATTCTCAGGTATACACAGAGAAACGAGTGCGAAAGCAATTTTACTAAAATCCATTTTTTTTATTTCTTTGGGGATTGCGAAAGTAATTTTTATGCTACGCTCAATCATCATACTCTCTTTTGATGAATTAAAATCTTATATATTTTGATAACAAAAACGGCTCTGTGTATTATAGTTTATATGATATTTTATGGATATTACATTACTATATATGAACTTTATACTTCATCTTATTTGTTATATTACGAGGCATAAATAAAACTTGAAATATAATTTACACAAAATTAAATTTAAAATTTTACTCAAACTTGGAATTAGGCTAGAATTAATTCGTCATGATCAGTCTTTGATATTAATAAATTTAAAAAAAAATTATGCCGCTGATTAAATTCACTCCAGAAAAAAGTCGATATCAAATTCATCGCGGAGTGCACCGCTGAAATTCCATTGGAACCTTACGCAACAGCCAGACGCACCCTTTTCGTTTTCCCGATCGGGGACGACGGTCTGGCGTCGTCGACAATAGGCATCGAGGAAGTCGAAGCCGGGCAGACGTAGAGGAGGCAGATACGGGAGCTGAGAGGGAAAGTAGACGGTGGATTCGGGAGACTCGGGGGGAGAGAGAGAGAGAGAGAGAGAGAGAGAGAGAGAGGGAGAGAAAGGGGGGGGGGGGGGAGAGAGAGAGAGAGAGAGAGAGAGAGAGAGAGAGAGGGAGAGAAAGGGGGGAGGGAGGGAGAGAGAGAGACAAAGAAAGAAGGACTGCATAACGTGGAAAGGCAACGTCGCTCCTGAGCCCAATTAGCAATTTAAGGCAATAAGCGAGCGCACTCCCTCGCTTACATTCCCGCTGGCATCGGACGACGTTATTTCCAGGATTTCCAGGAGGGACAGACCGGCGGCTCCTCCGCGCATAAACATCGCACGGAATAACGCGAGCTGCATACATTCGAGATGGGACCGCGGCGCATCCTTC